AGCCTCAGGGTGTGGTGAGGTGCAGCCTCAGGGTGTGGTCAGGCCGCGGGGCGTGTGGGTTAGCCGCAGCGATGACACTGCCGCAGTCACCGGATGTGTGCTGTGTGCCCACAGGGGGGAGTACCTGGTGTACGAGCGGGACAACGAGGTGAAGGCGCAGAGCCGCGAGTGGAAGAAGTACCAGTTCCACTACGACAACGTTCTTTGGGCTCTGCTCACGCTCTTCACCGTCTCCACCGGCGAGGGCTGGCCTCAGTGAGTACTACTGCCGCGCACACAGCCGACACGTCCCTCGCTGCGCCCAGCCACTGACCTCCTGTCTCTCTCTGTCCCTCTGCCTCCTCCTGTTTCTCTGCCTGTGTCTCTCTGTCCCTCTGTCTCTCCTGTCTGTCTGCCTGTGTCTCTCTGTCCCTCTGTCTCTCCTGTCTGTCTGCCTGTCTGTCTCTCCTGTCTCTCTCTGTCTCCTCCTGTCTCTCCCTGTCTCCTCCTGTCTCTTTGTCTCTCTCTGCCTGTCCTCTCTTGCTCCTCCTCCCATTCGCCCCATCTCTCTCTCCTCGCCTCAGAGTGCTGAAACACTCAGTGGACGCAACTTATGAGAACCAGGGTCCCAGTCCGGGGTACCGGATGGAGATGTCCATCTTCTACGTGGTCTACTTCGTGGTGTTCCCCTTCTTCTTCGTCAACATCTTTGTGGCCCTCATCATCATCACCTTCCAGGAGCAGGGAGACAAGATGATGGAGGACTACAGCCTGGAGAAGAATGAGGTGGGCAAAACAGGACACAGACACCTACCTGTGCTTGTCTGCGTGTGTCTGCGTGTGTCTGTGTGTATCTGTGAGTATCTGTGCCTGCACATGTCTGCGTGTATCTGTGTCTGCACATGTCTGCACATATCTGCGTGTATCTGCATGAATCTGTGTCTGCACATGTCTGTGTGTATCTGTGTTTGTCATGTCTGTGTGTATCTGGGTCTGCATATCTGCGCATGTCTGCGCATGTCTGCACGTGTCTGCATGTATCTGCATGTATCTGTGTCTGCACGTCTGTGTGTATCTGTCTGTGCATGTCTGCATGTAACTGTGTCTGCGTGTGTCTGTCTGTCTGCCTGTATCTGCGTGTCTGCGTGTCTGTGTGTGTCTGTGGTTACCCCAGGGTAACCTGCCTGCTGTGTGTCTGTGTGTCTGTGTGGTGTGTGTGTCTGTGTGTGTGTGGAGTGTTTGTGTCTGTGTCTGCATGTGTATGTGTCTGCATGTGTCTGCATGTGTCTGCATGTGTCTGTGTGTGTATGTGTCTGTGTGTCTGTGTGTCTGTGTGTCTGTGTGTCCGTGTGTCCGTGTGTGTATCTGAGTGTGTGTATTTGTGTGTGTATGTGTCTGTGTGTGTATATCTGTATCTGTCTGTATTTGTGTGTGTGTATGTGTATGTGTCTGTGTGTGTGTATCTGTATCTGTCTGTATCTGTGTGTGTGTGCGTGTGTGTGTATGTGTCTGTGTGTGTGTATCTGTATCTGTCTGTATCTGTGTATGTGCGTGCGTGCGTGTGTGTGGTAACTGCCCTGCTCTGTCCTCTCCAGAGAGCCTGTATTGACTTTGCCATCAGCGCCAAGCCCCTGACCCGCCACATGCCGCAGAACAAGCAGAGCTTCCAGTACCGCATGTGGCAGTTCGTGGTCTCGCCGCCCTTCGAGTACACCATCATGGCCATGATCGCGCTCAACACCATCGTGCTGATGATGAAGGTGACAGCTCGCCACTGCAGCGCTGCTCCGCGCCCTGACTCCGAGCCGGCTCGGGTGCTGACTCTCCTCTCTCTCCCCTGTCTGTGTCTGTGTCCGATGCCTCCAGTACAATGGCGCCTCTTTGACCTACGAGTCAGTGCTGAAGAACCTGAACATCGTGTTCACCACCCTGTTCTCCATGGAGTGCCTGCTGAAGATCATTGCGTTCGGGATCCTGGTGAGTGTCCTCCGGGCCGGGCCCCCTCACTGCGCTGCGCGGGACAGCTGACTCACACTGTTGTGCTTTCTCTCTGTCTCGCCCCTACCCCTCTCCCGACAGAACTATTTTCGGGACGCCTGGAATATTTTTGATTTTGTGACAGTCCTGGGCAGCATCACAGACATTTTAGTGACTGAGCTCGGGGTAAGTGCCCGCACAGGAGTGTGTGCGTGCCCTGCGCAGTGTGCGTGTGTCAGTGTGGAGAGGGGCAGAGGGCTATGTAAGTGTCCCTGCTGGCTGAGCCCAGCCTGAGGTATGATGACACCCTTGAAAACCCCCCTATCCTGCTACAGGACCCCCCCAGTTCGGGCCAGGAGATAGCGGCCATCAGCCAGGTCGCGGCTCTTGCCTGGAGTTTCCCAGTAGAGCAGTCTGCAGTTCCTTAGTTCTCCCAGTAGAGCAGTCTGCAGTTCCCCAGTTCCTCCAGTAGAGCAGCTCTGTCTGGAGTTCCCCAGTTCCCCCAGTAGAGCAGTCTGCAGTTCCTTAGTTCTCCCAGTAGAGCGGTCTGGAGTTCTCCAGTTCTCCCAGTAGAGCAGTTGTGTCTGAAGTTCCCCAGTTCTCCCAGTAGAGCAGTTGTGTGTGGAGTTCCCAGTTCCCCCAGTAGAGTGTTTGGTCTCTCCTGGGGATTCCCAGTTCTCCCAGTAGAGCAGTCTGCAGTTCCCCAGTTCTCCCAGTAGAACAGTTGTGTCTGGAGTTGCCCAGTTCCCCCAGTTGAGCAGTTCTGTCTGCAGTTCCCCAGTTCTCCCAGTAGAGCTGCTCTGTCTGCGTTTCCCCAGTCCTCCCAGTAGAGCAGTCTGCAGGTCCCCAGTTCCCCCAGTAGAGCAGTTGTGCCCAGGGGTCCCCAGTTCTCCCAGTAGAGCAGTCGTGTCTGGAGTTCCCAGTTCCCCCAGTAGAGCAGTCTGCAGTTCCCCAGTTCTCCCAGAAGAGCAGTTATGTCTGGAGTTCCCAGTTGGCCCAGTAGAGTGTTTGGTCTCTTCTGGGGAGCCCCAGTTTTCCCAGTAGAGCAGTTGTGCAGAGCTCGTCTGTCCCTCTCTGAGTGTTTCCACCTGGTGTGTGACTGAGCACTGTGTGAGCTGCTTGTCGTGTGCAGTATTCTTGAGATCAGTGTTAAACCTGTGTTAAAGAACTAAATGTATACATGCAATTATACTTTATTGTATATATAGATGATTATATATACAGCATCTAGTGTAGCAATTATTTCGCTTTTTAGTTTGTAATATTATAATGATTATTTATTTCTTGTTTTATCTTTTTACATGCTTTCTTTAAACTGTGCTTTATTGGCGCCTACGCCTCTGATAAATTCATCCAATCAAAATGCACTATGAAACTCATGTGTCCATCCATGAACTGGTCTGTGTGTTCATGCCAACTTAATCTTTACACACTGGTTGCAAATCAAACCCCCTCTTCCCTCCCCTAAACCCCCTGCCCCCCCCAAAAAAAATTCATCTACAACATCTACCTGTAGAACCTGGTTGGTTTGTAATTTTTGTAGCCCTAATGCAACCATTGACTTATCTAGACCCTCTGCATGTGCTTCTGTCTGCGTGACCCCTGACCTCTGACCCTGCTGCCTGAGTGTGCTCAGTCTGCTCCGACTTCCTCCCAGCGTCACAGCTGCGCCACAAGGACACACTGACCCGCGCTCGCACGCACACACACGCACCGACGTCTCCACTCTGCTCTACTGGGTTGTGTCGCGTTTTTCTCACTGCTGCAGCACTTTCGAGACTCGCTGCCACCATGAGCTGCCCTCGGCCTGTCCGACAGAGCCCACCTCTCTGTTTCTACTTCCTTTTCTGTGTTGCAGTTTCAATACAGACAGATGCTAAACACCTAGAGGGAGTATTTCGCTGTAATTATGCCTGCCTAAGCCAGAAAACACTCGGTCCAGTTCTCTGCGAGTCTAATTCAGGAGCTCAATCAGAACTGAGCTCTTGGGCTTCCCCGTGTGAGTTCCACATGTCCTAGCCGAAGAGGGATTTCCTTTGCTCACTGCACCACAGCGCCCCCATGTGCTGACTGGGGCACTTGTG